ACATCATTTGTTTAATCTTGGTGGACACAGAAGTGCTATATTGATTTTTGTGCTTTTTAACAAATTTATAATTCATAATTCTAAATAGGAAGAACATTCATTCGGTTAGAGAGGGACAGCTTGTGCAAGGTCTTGAGTAAGGAAAGATCTTAGCAAGGTCAAGGAACTCAGAGAAAAATGCTAGATAGCTTGAGTACAGTCCAGTAGGAGCAAAAGTGTCATGAGATAAAGCTGGAGAGGTAAGCAGGATCTTGATTTTCAGGGCCTGGCAGCCAGTGATCAAGATTATGGCATTGGAAACCCACTAATGGATTTTAAGTAGTGGAGTGCTGCGTTGATAATGGATTGGAGGATGAAGGGACAGAAGAGAGAGTCAGAATAGATGTACAGAGATCAGTGGAATCCAGTGTGACAATGATGTCAGAAGTTGATGGATTTGAGATAAATTGTGGGTAGAGTCAACATGTCTTAGTAATGGATATGATGCAGAAATTTGGGGAGAAGGGCTTTTCCAACTTGGGCCTGGCAGAATGGCTCCCACAAAGAAGGGTGGTAAGAAGAAGGGCTGTTCTGCCATCAGCAAGGTGGTGACCCAGGAATATACCATCAACATTCACAAGGCGTTCATGGAGTGGGCTTCAAGAAGCATGCCCCTCATGCACTCAAAGAGATCCAGAAATTTGCCATGAAGGACTTGGGAACTCCAGATGTGCGCATTGATCGCAGGCTCAACAAAGCTGTCTGGGCCAAAGGAATAAAATGACCCATGTCGTATCCGTGTGCAGTTGTCCAAAAAACGTAACGGGAATGAAGATTCACCAAACAAGTTCTGTATTTTCGTTTACCTATGTATCTGTTACCACTTTCAGAAATCTACAGTCAGCATAGATGAGAACTAACTGCCGACTGTCAGATATGTCAAATAAAGTTATGAAACCAAAAAAAAAATTGGGGAGGTGTTGTTAAGGATGATTCTAAAGTGTATTTCTTTAGGTACTTAATGGATATACAGAGCTGGGGAAACCAGGAAAGTATCAAATTTGGTATGAGAAATCAAGTACTGGGTTTGACTTCCTGTGAGACAGTCAAGTGAAAATACTGAGTAGGTACCTGCATGTCAACGTTGGGATGAGAAATTTAAATGTAGGAGTCAGCAGTATTGACGATACTTGAAGCCATGATAAATCATCCAGGAGGAGCATACGGAATGAGATGACAAGGCAGCTAAAAGCTGAGCCCTGGGGAGCTCCATGTTTAAAGACTGCGTAGAGGGGGAAAGGATTTAGTGAAGATTTGAGTGAATGGCAAGTGAGGCAAGAGGACAGTCAGGAAGATTTGCTGTCAGAGCCAGGGTGAGAGATGATCTCAAGTGTACTGAAGACCACTGAGAGGTTAAGCTGCTTGCTCTTTGTCCCAAATTTAAAATGAAAATATATTTTACAATTGTAGAAAGTACCGGCCTTGAACATGAATGAACTTGCCTTGATATTCTATTTACTGATATGTAATTGTTAAT